GCTTACAGATTATCACGATATAAATATAAGTTAAATGAGTAGAGATTCATAAAATTATAAACAAAAAAATAGTAATAACGTATTGTTATAACTAATTGATACTATTTAAACGTGTAAATTAGTTATTTCTTTCTCCATCTGAGTTTTTACGTATCAATTTTTTTTTTTCTTTTACATACACTATGGAAATTATAGGAAAAACTTCTCAAACTCTCGTATAGCATTCATGTTATTTTTAAAACTAGTAGTATTTTCAATACGAAAAAGACGATACAATAGTATATTTACATAATTTTTTTTCAGTTATGCTACTGATAACTTGAACTAACAAAAGAATGAAACCAGATTGATGAAGTGAAACATTATATAATACAAGTCGAGTGAATTTTCATTCATCTAATTTTTTCTTCCTTCTGGTTTATGCAGTCCTAACTTACGAAGAGACATTCGTGATTGTGATTTTAGTTTTAGTCTCGGCTTCATATATATAATACGATAGTACAAAATTAATTGTTAGTTAAAATACGGTTGTCATTCATGATGCTAAAATCATTTTAAAACTGAACTCTGTTAATTACGAGATGTGATCTTTTTAAAAACACAAATAATTATAGAGAATCGTGAGATGTGATCGTTTCGAATAAGATAAAAAAGTTCAGACTATTAGTTATTTTATTATTATTTTAATTGAAGAAATAATTAAAAAAATAAAACAATAATCACGAAAATAAAAATAACTTCTAATATAGACAATATAATTCAATTCAATATTTTATTTATTTTGGTTTAATTGTGTCATACCTCTGTATAATTTGAATTATATTTATTATTAAATGAATCGTATTACTGAAACTAACCCATAACAATAAACGATAAATACAGCTAATCCGTAAACAACCAACTAGTATATAGTAAAAATTGGATAAGTTACTTAATTATTTGAAATATTTTTTTCGTTTTAAAATATTATAATTTTACTTGAATTAAGTATAATTTAATCAATATAAACTAACTAAAATAACAACGAGTAAATTTTTAATTCTATTAAATTAAATATTATAAATTAATTATTATTACACAATAATATACTAACAATGTAATAAATTTGATGTATTTAATAATTTTGAACTCGTAAATTTTAAATAAAATATAAATAGTCTTTATCGTATGTCTACTAAAAAAAACAAAAAAAAAAAAAAACAAATTCCCACAAGTGCCCCAAGTGGCAAAACGACGTAACACGAGCATAACAACTGTACTCCGAGACTGGATCCTACTTTCGTTTATTTTTCTTATTTGAAAATTACTTTTTATAGAGAGAGAACAAAATGCTGCAGAAATGGCGATGAAAAACTGAAAAACTGTTTTGCTTCCTTGAACTTACTTGGTTCCCTACGTGTCGTCACCGCACTTTCCGTTCCCCGAAAACTTTTCCGTCCCTTTCTCGGGAAAATTCCAGTTTCTGAGGTCAGTCATTTCATCTCTCGTTTATGGTTAGATCGCTTTTCTTCCATTATTGTTAGTCACTTAACTAAAATTAAAATGTTTAACCCTTTCTTTATTGTTGTTGGATTATGTCATGAATGGGCTCCAAGTACTGATAATCCCATTGCTTGGTTGGAATATATGTGTTTCCTTGTCAATTTGTGTGTTTAGATGGCTTGATCGAGGTGGATTTTTGGGTGTTCTTTACGGGTTTAATGAAATTTAGTACTGTTTGGTTGCTGAGGATTTGTGAGAAAATTATATAACCTAGAGCACTGAACTTAAATATATATATATATGTATATATATAACTTTAGAATTCACGAAAACATAACCCCGTTTTGGAAATGAGTTTTGTAGAATGAAAATTTTCCCAATTCTCCCATTTCTCCCATTTTGAAGTGCGTAGGAAGTGATTTAGTTGATCCCTTTGCTGCACCACTATTGTTGCTTATAATTCATGGAGCCATTTATGGATTTCTTTGTGATTTGAGGCTTTTAGCTGCCTTGATTCATGTTTTTAGGAAAAATTACTAAAGAATAATTAAACTCTAAGGTATTATAAACTTAGCTGCCTATGTAATTATGCAAAGGCACAATTTCTTTTATTCCATACTTCAAAATTATTTTACAAAAATTTGACTCTCTTTAATGGTAACGCATTGGCTTAAATTGAACTGAAGAAGCTAGTGAAATTACCAAAATATCCTCCACTTTATATGACAAATTTTTGGGTACAAAATGAGTGTAGAAACAAAACATTACTGAATAAATTTCATGATAGACAGGTTAAGAATCTATGCAAAAACTCGAGCTCCTAAAATAGATGAACTAAAATTTATACCCGAAGATGGAATCCTAAATACCGTCTCCGCAAATCGTCACTTCAGAAGAGGGCATCCTTCTTTAATGACTTGCGTGAAGTTCCTCGCATGCTTGCTTCAAGCTGATAGCAAACATCTCCATGGCCATGAAAATCTGTTCTAGGCCTAATTGCTGACAATTCCTAGTGATTTCAGTCAAGTTGACCTGTGTTTAACTAACTAAACCACTCTTTTCCCTGGACAGTAGACTCATTTCTTCTTGAGTACGTGTAATCCTTTGCAGTTTTTGCTTATCTTCTCAATAACAACATTTTTTCTATCTTTCATTTTCAATCCAAAAATAATCTACATCTTTACTTGTATATGCTTACTGTTTAATGGTTCTTAGGTACTCGGTTTCTTTGTAATAATGGAGAAGATGAGAAAATAATAAGGGCAGGTTAGACATTTCACAAAAAAATAACACAATTTATTTTTCACATTGGTCAAAGTTGGTCCGGTCATTTTTTGCACAATTCTAATATGCTGTCATGTTTTTGTAGCAAAACTAAGTACTGTTTTTTTAAATAGCACATGTTTATTTGGTTTATCTCATGTGTCATCTAAAAAGAAAGATAATCTAATAGGTGGAATTATTGATCCTTTGTTTTGTGACAAAAAATATGTATGAAAAAAACATAAAAGAACTTGTGCCTTCAAACGTCCAAATTAGTGGAGAGCCATATTTGATCATTTGATATTAACATTGAGCGAAGTAATATTTATCTCAAGGAAAAACATTGAGCAAAGTAATGTAAATTTACAATTTACTTTGTTTTCATCTTGTTATTGGAGATGGTGGCGTGGGTTTTTGGAATTTGAAGATGAGAGGGTGTGAGATGAGATGCTTTTGTAACGTATTATTGTGTTGGGAAAGGGCAAAAGTTTATTGCCTTTTATCATGATTGTAGCAAGCTTCCTGTCTTGTTTGTGAGCTGAAATCAACTAGAGGTTAAATTATTTTTAATGCTTCAATTTTCAGCCGAAATTGGTAAAAGTTGGCAGCATTAATCCTTTACATCCTTGAATAACTTTACCATTTGAACATTAAACTTTCATCTTAAAAAAGTTTCTGTACATTCCTCACCCTATGTATATTTAGTGCCTAGATCTCCACCTGAAGATAATCCATTATTTTTCCTTTACCTCTTGTTTTGTTCTCTTTCTTTCATGCTAATTTTTTTGGGGTCAATTTCTTGGTCTTGTAGTATACTTGTCTCCTCAAACAAGCTAGTAAAAAAGCGTCTTATTTAATCGTGGAGGGGTAGTCCCTAAAACCTCCTGAGCCAAGTCTTATTTCTAATGGATGGAATTTGGCCTTAAAGACAGTACTAAAT